GGGTTAAATGTAATATTCTTTCTTTATAACCTCATCTTTTTAAAATTATTATTATTTTAATTTTTTTTTTTTTCCTAATTTAACATACACGGGGTAGATGCAGGCCACATCCCTACTGCTTTTGAATAAAATGCCATCAGTTGAAAGCGGAACGAAAAGCTCCCGTCCTTCCACTGTCGGAACTTAACAGTGTGACACCCGGCGGAAGTAAACAACAAACGCTAGGACGATATTGTCGTTGTAGCGCAGCTACTTATTTAATTTATAATTGAGCAACAATGTCTTCAGTTGAGTATTTGAGAGAGTTTGTGAACGAGCGGTTGACTGCTGCTGCTGAGGAAATATTTAGAGTTTTTCGGAACTCTATCGTCCAGTATGAGGAGGAGATCCACCGGCAGCGCACACTCTTGGATGTCGTTTGGAAACCCGAAATAAAGATACACAGGATAGGTGAGTTAAACTTAATTATTTTAACAACACAGAATTTGATTTAGATATGACCCCGTTTGTTTAGATATATTCTGGTACTAGCTAGCATGTCTGCGTTTTTTTCTCCATCATCACGTATGTAACCTGACCATCATTCTGTTCTTGTATGTCCCTCCAGAGCTCCTACAGCAACATGTCTGTAAGGAGGAGGACCAGGGGCTCTGTATTCAGGAAAGGAACTCCGTTCTGGATCAGGAGGACCCAGAGTCTCCACAGATCAAAGAGGAACAGGAGGAACTGTGCATCAGTCAGGAGGGAGAGCAGCTTGTACTGAAGCAGGAGACTGATGCCTTTATGTTGACTCCTGCTCATGAGGAAAGTGACCACAATGAGGATCTGACTCTGAACTTCAGTCCTAATAACACCCTCAGTGCAGCACAGAAAGAGTCTGTAGTCAATATAGCAGTTAAAAGTTCTGTGCGATCAGAAGCAGGAAGTGACCACCAGCTCCTCCCTCACGACACTCATGTAGCTGAGAGCCAAGATCAGGAAGGAGGCGATCATGGAGACTCAGGATCAACTACAGACGCAGAGCCAACACCACAGAAGAGACATCATGAAAGTGAAAGTCACAGTAACAATGTACAAAACCCTGCCACTTCAGAGATTGACTGTAATTCTCAGACAGCTAAAAATCTTTTCCAATGTGACACTTGTGGGAAAGCTTTTAAGTTTAAGTCCCGTTTGCAGAGACACCTGATCACACACACAGGTGAACGGCGGTCTTACTTTAAGACTTTAAAATGTGACACATGTGGGAAAGCTTTTAACTTTCAGTCCAACTTGGACATGCACCTGAGGACTCACTCGGGTGAGAAGCCATACCTGTGCAACACCTGCGGAACAAGATTCAGTCAGAAATCCTCATTGAACATTCATATAAGGATTCATACAGGTGAGAGGCCCTATTTGTGTAACACCTGCGGGAAAAGCTTCAGTCAGATGTCAGCACTGAACACTCATAAAAGAATCCATACAGGTGAGAGACCATATACATGCAAAACTTGTGGGAAAGCTTTCAGACTTAGTAGTGACTTGACAGTCCACATGAGAATCCACACAGGGGAGAAACCATATACCTGCATAACATGTGGGAGAGCCTTCAGACTCAGTGGTGCCCTGACAGACCACATGAGAAGAGCCCACAACGGCTGAGAGGCCGTAACTTTGCAAAATCTGCAGGAAAATTAACTTTTATGTATCTGATTTGTTAAAGCATACAAGATCACATACAAGCATGCGGCCTTGTGTTTGCAAAATAATTAGGGGACAACTCAGTTGTAGTGGTTGATGGTCAAAACCTACAAGAGCTCACAGAAGTGAGGAGCCACATAATTGCAGCACTTTGGGAAAAACCCAAATCAAGCAGTTAAAAAACAGCTGGTCGGTGTACGCATAACGTGATTTTGACAAGAAGGACATGCCCCTGGATCAACATCCCACATCGCGTTCCAGGATCAACATTGCCTTCAACCAATCACAGCTCTCTGACATCATCATCGTGCCACTCCATTGCTTCATCAGAGCTAAGCTAGTTTTTCCAAATTGAAGTTAGTACAATTAAACAAAAACCTCAGTAATGCTGATAAAAAAATCTTTAAAGCTACTACAGTGTTAGCGAGTTAGCTTGCTAGTAGGCAAAAATATTGTTCATGAACATTAAGAGTAAGGATAATGTCATTTTGCAGTTGCAAAGACCTGTGATGGACAAATTTCCCCTCCTTTTTAATAGCCTAGCCAAAGCCTAGTCGTCATCATCATCATTATCCTGCCTAATTTGAACATCATTGCCATGTTGTTCCTAGATAACTTATGTTGATCTTGACCATCATTGCCATATTGATCCTGAATAGAATCACTGATGTTGATCCAGGACCATTACTGCTGTGTTGATGTCAACATAAACAAATTATCCAGAATCAGTGTGATGATGATGATGGTCCTGGACAAAGGAATTTGCAGCTGCAAAATGACATTATCCTTACTCTTAATGTTATTGAACAATATTCTAGGCTATTGGCAAGCTTACTTGTTAGCATAGTCAACCTAGTTAGCACGCTAACTAGCTAACCCTGCAGTAGCTTAAAAGGTTTTTGTTCAGTGTTACTGAGGATTTTGGACAATTGTACTAACTTCAATTTGGAAAACTAGCTTAGCTCTAAAGAAGCACAAAGGAATTTGTAAGAGGCACAGTAGCAGAACGCTGTGATTGGTTGATTGCAGTGTTGGTCCAGGAACACGATGCGGGATGTTGATTTTTTGACTGAGAAACCTACTGAGCTGTAACTCCTGCAGAAATGTGTTCACCAACTGAATAAAGTACAAGTACACTTATGCAATAGCTACAGCTCTGTAACTGCATGTTATGTCATTATCTTAATGTGAAGTATGCCTTTGTGTGATTGTATATTCCTGTTAGCAACAGTATTTCTTTGACACAATCATAATTTCCCAAATCAAGGGCAAATGTTTTCATAATGAGCGTAATGTGGTTGTTATTAAAATTATACTGAAAGTCCCCTAAGGCAGTGGATCCCAACTGGTTCAGCCACGGGGTCCAGATATCTCCCTAGGCATTAGTTTAGGGTCCACACAGTTTAATACACTCAGTATCATACTTGCGTTTGGCCATGTAGTAGTTTGCTGTCTCTGTCAAGTAACTGTCTGTTGGTTACGGCACTTCAAAATAAAAGTTTGGTGCCGGAAATTCACTGTACTTAAAAATAGTGTGTTTTTTTACAAACCACAACCCATCAGTTGGGAACCACTGCCCTAAGGCAAATTGTGATTTTTGATAATGTAAATAAAACTGACTTGACTTTACTTTGTGTGTTCTTTTTGTGTCAAAAGTTTGTTTATGAATCATCTCAGAATAACTTGTAGTTTGAAGTTTAATACAGGCTTAAAAAATCCACCTACCTCAAGTAGTATTTCATACTTCCTTATGAAGCCACACATTACAGCAGCTCAAGATTCAGGAGCAAAAGACAAGGAAAAATGTGACTGAGTGATAAATAAAATGACACAAGATAAAAACATGATAAAATTACAAATATAGTAAAAATGAAGTATAGAATCCATACATTATATATTATATACAGTGCCCTCCAAAAGTATTGGAACAGTGAGTCCAATTCGTTTACTTTTGTTGTAGACTGAAAACATTTGGGTTTGACATCAAAAGATGAATATGAGACAAGAGATCAACATTTCAGCTTTTATTTCCAGGTATTTACATCTGGATCTGATACACAACTTAGAAGATAGCATTATTTGTAATGGAACACAAAATTTTTAGGTGAGCAAAAGTATTGGAACATACAAACTTAAAATAGATTAAAGTGAATGAGACTTAATATTTAGTTGCAAATCCTTTGCTTTCAATAACTGCATCAAGCCTGTGACCCACTGACATCACCAAACTTTGCATTCTTCTTTTGTGATGCTTTTCCAGGCTTTCACCGCAGCCGCTTTCAGTTGTTGTTTGTTTTGGGGGGTTACTCCCTTCAGTCTCCTCTTCAGCAGGTAAAATGCATGCTCTATTGGGTTTAAGTCTGGAGACTGACTTGGCCAGTCTAAAACCTTCCACTTCTTGCCCCTGATGAACTCCTTTGTTGTTTTGGCAGTGTGTTTTGGGTCGTTATCTTGCTGCACGATGAAGGATCTCCCAATCAGTTTGGTTGCATCTTTCTTTAAATTAGCAGACAAAATGTTTCTGTAGACTTCTGAGTTCATTTTGCTGCTGCCATCATGTGTTACATCATCAATGAAGATGAAAGAGCCCGTCCCAGAAGAAGCCATGCAAGCCCAAGCCATGACATTACCTCCACTGTGTTTCACAGATGAGCTTGTATGTTTGGGATCATGAGCAGATCCTTTCTTTCTCCAAACTTTCGCCTTTCCATCACTTTGGAAAAAGTTAATCTTTGTCTCATCAGTCCATAAAACTTTTTCCCAGAATTTTTGAGGCTCATCTCTGTACCTTTTGGCAAATTCCAGCCTGGCCTTCCTATTCTTCTTGCTAATGAGTGGTATGCATCATCAGGTGTAGCCTCTGTACTTTTGTTCATGAAGTCTTCTGCGAACAGTAGATTGTGATACCTTAACTCCTGCCCTCTGGAGGATGCTGCTGATGTCACTAACAGTTGTTTTAGGGTCTTTCTTTACAGCTCTCACAATGTTTCTGTCATCAACTGCTGATGTTTTCCTTGGTCTACCTGTTCGACGTCTGTTGTTTAGTACACCAGTGGTTTCTTTCTTCTTCAGGACATTCCAAATGGTTGTACTGGCTATGGCCAATGTTTGTGCAATGGCTCTGATTAATTGTCCATCTTCTCTCAGATTCACAATTGCTTCTTTTTCACCCATAGACAGCTCTCTGGTTTTCATGTTGGTTCCACCTCTAAATGCAGTCTGCACAGGCAAAACCTATCGTACCCAATCTGAAACTGAGCTCAGACATTCAGTGCTATTTATTGTTTGAATAATCAATGTAATTGGGAGACACCTGGGCAACAAAACACACCTGTCAGTCACATGTTCCAATACTTTTGCTCTCATGAAAAATGGGTGGGTTCAAACAAAAGGTGCTATCTTCTAAGTTGTGTATCAGATCCAGATGTAAATACCTGGAAATAAAAGCTGAAATGTTGATCTCTTGTCCCATATTCATCTTTTGATGTCAAACCCAAATATTTTCAGTCTACAACAAAAATAAAGGAATTGGCCTCACTGTTCCAATACTTTTGGAGGGCACTGTATACATTATATATAATTTTCACCAATACAGATGGTGTATGTCCATGATTGATAGTTGCACAAGATGACTGTAATACATGCATCAGTGTTTAGTAATTTACCTCAAAAAAATATAAATATTACTGCAGAGTAAGTCATAAAATATTGCACAAGCAGAAAATTGCACAAGATTGTTGCATAGTATAAATATAAAGGATATGGATAAGGATATGCACATGTAGCCATATATGTATACAGGTCAATATTAATTATACATCTGACCAGCAGACTAAAAGCCATTTTTGACAGTTTTACTTGATACAACATGACTAAAAAGATAAATTATCAAAATAGCTGCTGGTTAATGCCAATTAATTTTAAAGATGCTATAGACAGCAGCTGGAGCATTAATATAACAGTAAACCACTATTTGCTATGTACAGGTGTAGCAGAGTAATGGTGTCCCTAAGCAGAGAATGAAGTCACGCTACGTCTGTGTATGTTGTTGTCTGAGCTTCTCTGTTTTTTGTTGTGGTAGACAGTCTGGCTGCATGTTCATGTTACTGCATGTTCATGTTACTGCATGTGTGTCCCTGTGTGTGTATTCCACTGGCTAGCTGATCACTCCTGCTCTGTACTGTGCTCATATAGCGGTTACCACTGATTACACTGTCCCAACCCATGTAAAAACATAGCGCTACAGTATTAGCTGTGAGCTGTTCCGTTTGCTAGCAGCAAAGCTATGTTAGCAGCAGTGCTAACACCATCAACAGTACTAAACAATGACAACAGTGCTGACAGAGCTAACGTTATTATCCAAGGGGGGAACCGGAGGGTGGGTGCTATGCTTGTGTGATGACACCGTCCCGATATCAGTGGTAACCATCGTAGTGCAAATCAGTGAAAATTAGCTAGCCAGTGGGACACATGTATTAACATGTGCAGCTTGCCAATACAAACCACAGAGAAGCTCCGATTACAATACACACAGAGGTAGCTTGATGTCATTCTCTGCCCAGGACACCATTACTCCGCTAAATAGCAAATAGTGGTTTGCTGCTATATTAATGCTCCAAATGTGACATACAGAACCTTTAAAGAGAAGCACGGAGACTCTGTATCAATTTGAAATACAGAGCCGACACCACAGAAGAGACCTCACAAAAGTAATAGTCACTCTAACAATGTATAACCCTACCAATTCAGGATGTGGTTAGCCTAGCTTAGCATAGAGGTGAGGGAAACAGTTAGCCTGGCTCTGTCCAAAGTTCAAAAACACATCTACCAACTCCCCTAAAGCTCTTTAATTAAAATGTTGTATCGTTTTATTTTTATTTTAATTAATACATGAGGAGAAATATAAAAATGACAATTTGCGATTTGCTGGAACTGTCTCTTAATACAAAGATTCTATAAACACAGAGGCCATGTCGTCAATAATTTCTGGGAATTTAGCAATGTAGGGGAACATTTGATTTTACAATTAAAAACAAATGTGAAAAAAAATCTGGCTATTTTAGAGCCAACAAAACACAAGTTAATAAAGGACTATGGCAAGGTACTGATTTTGGTGCCTATTGAATACCTTACTTTGAGGAATATAAAGCTTTTACCATTTTTTAAAAATTCAGATACAACAAACTACTAAATAAAGTAATAAAATATAAAAATAAAATTGAGTAAAAATGATACTATGAAACACTTACTGTCTACAACAATTCGTTACTTGCCACAAGTCCTGTTGCTTAATGACAGCTCCAAATTGGAACTGAAGATGTCATGACTCTGGCTATCTGGCCTTACAGCTGCCAGGTGACAAACAGCTTGTAGAAAGCCCCAACATGGCTTCGTGGCTTCTTAGATAAAACAAACATGGAGCACTGAGCTGCCAACATACACCAAGCAAAAGCAGCAAATATTTTATACTGGAAACAGGTGATACTACAATAAAGTCCTTAATATAACTGCTCTTGGTCTCCATAGAGTGACAGAGGAATGAATCCTAAAACCTGGAAATGAGTTAGCATTTAAACACTCCTGGTTCCCTCGTCTTAAAGTCAATGAGTTTTATAAAATGGGTTTTTGGTTAGATGCCTGAAATAAGGTCTGTGGTTAACACAAGCTCAAGAGACTTTCATGTTTTGTTCTAAGACATAAAATGTGTGAGTAAATACCCCACTCATGAATTTTGAAGCTTTAAAAAGGTGGTTGCTAACAAGTGGCTAAATGAGACGTAGTGTCATCATGCTAAACACGTCTTTACAGCCTCATTGTGGTGAATATTAAGTCATACGACTGAGGTGTAGTTTATTTATAACCTAATGTGAGCTTTTTAGTTCTGCGGTGGTGTGTCTGTGTCACTCTGCAGTTACACCTCCAAAACACTGGTCGGTGGCGGAGGTTTCTGTGAAGTGCTGTTTAGCTTAAACACACATTAAACATGGCTTAATTGTCGCTATTAAGCCATGTTTAATGACAGACAGGAGGTCTGCGTCACCGCGACGCGTTTACAATTCTGGAGAGGTGCACGTTAGGCTACGGTGTAGGTTATGGCGTAGGCTCTACGACGTGGAGCCTACTAGCTACAGCGTCAATGCAGAACTATAAATTTTTTTTTTGCCACAAAACTTATTTTCTGCAATAGCAAAATCCAATGGAAAAAACCCCAAATTGATTAATGCATTGACATTTGTGATTATATTCCACTACTTTATTTGTGATCTATCAACTTATACGTGGGGGGACTTTGAATAAGCCATTTGGGCTTCCTTCTTCTTCAACACTGAAATCACTTCTTCAGTGTATTTTGTATTTTATTATTTTATTATTTTATTGTGCAAATAAATAAACCAACCTTGTAACCCCAACCTCCATAAATATGTTTATATATCAATACAATTGATGACAAAAAGGGAAGAATGTTGGGAGACAACATTTACAATA